ACAACCAACATCTATGTACCACGAGATTACCATGCGGTTTACAACACTAAGTCATTTTTACTATGAGACTACAAAAAATACAATTCCCAGAGCTAGGTTTAGAAAATCTTTTTTTTTTTTTTTTAAATCATAGGAGCTTTTCACTAATCTCATTAGCTGTACCAGTCAGTGATTCAGTAGAAATACAAGTTGTATAGGCTTTATTGTTTATTGCTGGTTTTCTGACCTTAATAAAGTGTAAGTATGTATAGGCGGGGTGTTTTTAACTATGATTATTGTACAAATGAAATCTTGATCTCAAGAAGCACATGAAGTTTGCAGCTCTATCCACCCGCTCATTTTTGTAAGATAACAGAAACAAATTAATCCTGGACGACCTTTTCAGCAATTTTGAACTCAACCAAGCTGTGATAAGTGGAATGGTTACTGTTTATATACTGTGGTATGTTTTGATTACAGCAGACAATGCTTTTTTCAGTGGTCTTTGACAAATTAAGGAATCTCTATCAGATGCAATGTTTATGTAGCATCTTATCTCTTTCTTTTCTTTTGTAAATACTGGAGAAGCTTTGACCAATTTGACTTAGAGATGGAATGTAACTTTGCTTAAAAAATGCTATTAAACTCCTGCTTAAAGTGTTCTAATTTTATGTGAGCACACTAAAAGCAAAAATAAATGTGAATAAAATTTGAGCCGCATCTGTCTTTTCATTTGACCAGTTTCTATTCCTTTTAAGCTGGAATCTGCAATAGGGGGAAACGGCGCCACTAGCCGCCCCACCACCCTTGTTTCTGTTGCCAACCTGAGGAGCGTCGCGCATTATGGTTAAATAAATTGCAGTACATATTGTGCTATTCTAGCACGTGTGCAAACAGTGTTTGTTGTAATGTCACAAATGGACGTGGCTTTCACCATTAAGGAGTCCAGCTTTAACCATTAGGATGGAGGTGGTAAGTTGGTAGTTGAGTGTTCTAACTGGTAAATTGATCAGTAATTTCAACATATAAGTAATTTTAGCATACTTAGCTGTGTTTTCACAGGCATCCCAATTCAGATTTCCCCTGACTAATTTAGCTTTTGACCATTCATTTCTTTTTCGGAGCTAATCAGATTGGTCAAAAAAAATGGTCTGCCTGTTTAAATGCAGCCATAGTGTGTTAAAACTAATTTTGTATTCAGGCTAACAACTGCCAACTTTTCTATATACTCAAACATTACAGTATGATTGCAGAAGCACCTTGCCGCAACAACACCAAGAGGGTTTCCCCTAGGATTTGAACTAATGACGTTACAGCAGGTCACAGCCAGTGTCACTGCCCCTCAGTTATCTACAGAAGTCCAACATGGAATACTCAATGGTTCGGACAAATCTATTTCACCTAGCAAGTATTATACAACTATCATCAACTAGTCCTAACTTGTTCGAAGCCTTTTAAAATCAATCATGGACCAGAATACATGCATTTGTCACAGCGATCAGGTTTTTTATTATTAGTTTAGTGCTATTCCACACCCCCAACAGGATCACATGCAGCCTACATCACTGAATTCTCACTGGTGTTAAATATGTTGACATTTGCAATTGAATGATGGTGTGAGATCGTAGAACAATAGTTACTCAGTAACTGGTACAATGCCAATGGAAATTATTTAAAAAATATCAGTGAAGACCTTTTGAGCAGCTCATTGTTGTAAAAAGAGACCCTCAAGGCACAGACTAAATACTTTGCAATGAAGTTGAACAATGAATGATGTACAGCCCCACCCAAGACATTGAAAGAAACCATCAACACAGTGGTTTGATTTACTAAGGCTTGCTTGATGCTACACTTGGATAATGAAATATGCTTATGGATTTTGTTTCAGGGCCAGGTGTCCCTCACAGGTGAGACCACACGTAACCTCGAAGTTTGCAAGACACCCATGTTTTGCAACTAAAATGAACCTATTTTAGAGTAGCTGGGCTAACACCTGGCTGTAGGCCTACAGTGCAACAACACTGTACATGTTACTAGTAGGCTAAGTTTATGTAATTAAAATCTAGATATACTGTCAGCAAGTCTAAAGTGTACACAACTCGATTAAAGATCTTCAGGGTTGTATTAGCAATCGTGACGGTTCAAATAAATAGGCCAAAATGGTACCTTAGGCTATAACAACTAGTGCTATTTACATTTTAGTCATTTAGCAGACGGTCTTATCCAGAGCAACTTACAGTTAGTGAGTGCATACATTTTCCATACTGCTATGTGGTCTCCAACGCAATCATCAAATTTGCTGACAACACAACAGTGGTCGGCCTGATTACCAACAACTATGAGACAGCCTACAGTGAGGAAGTGAGAGTCCTGGGGGAGTGGTGGCAGGAAAATAACCCCTCCCTCAACATCAACCAAATGAAGGAGCTGATCGTGGACTACAGGAGACAGCAGAGAGAGAGCACGCCCCCATCCACATCGACGGGTCCGCAGTGGAGATGGTCAAAAGCTTCAAGTTCCTCAGCGTGCACATCACTGAGGACCTGAAATGGTCCCTTCACACAGACAGCATGGTGAAGAAGACGCAGCAGCTCCTCTTCATCCTCAGGAGGCTGAAGAAATTCAGCTTGGCCCCTAAGACCCTCACACATTTCTACAGATGCACCATTGAGAGCATCCTGTCGGGCTGTCCTGTCACCGCCTTGTGCGGCAATCGCACCGCGCGCAACCGCAGGGCTCTCCAGAGGGGGCACACTGCCCTCCAGGACATCTATAGGACATCTACAGCACCCGGTGTCACAGGAACGCCAAGAAGATCAAGGACCTCAGCCACCGCCTGTTCACCCCGCTACCATCTAGAAGGCGGAGACAGTACAGGTGCATCAAAGCAGGGACAGAGAGACAGCTTCTATCTCCAGGCCATCAGACTGTTAAACAGTGACCACTAGCCAGCCTCCGCCCAGTACCCTGGCCTGTACCTTAGTCACTGTTCTAGCCGGCTACCAACTGGTACTCTACCCTGCAGCTTAGAGACTGCTGCCCTATGTACATAGAGCCACTGAACCCTGGTCACTTTAATAATGTTTACATACTGTATGTATATACTGTGTTCCACAGGAGGTTGGTGGCACTTTAATTGGGGAGGACGGGATCGTGGTAATGGCTGGAGCTGAATGAGTGAAATAGTATCAAATACTATGTGTTTGATACCATTCCCTTTATATTATGAGCCACCTCCCCTCAGCAGCCTCCACTGCCGGTATTCTAGTCATGGCTCATCCTATATAACACATTTTTAGAGTTTTCCGTTTTTTTTTTATTGCTAGATATTACTGCACTGTTGGAGCTAGAAGCATAAGCATTTCACTGCACCTGCAATAACATCTGCAAATCAATGTATGCGACCAATACACTTTTGATTTTTGGATGAAAATAACAGGCAGCATTACATCGCCATCATGTGGCTGCCATGCAATGCATCACAACAAAAAAATCCCTAGTGGAATTTGTATCGATTTGATTTTGGAAGAACTGACAATGCATGTTTAAAAATACATTGTTTAGAAATAATAGAGTAAAATATCCATATATATTGGGTTATGATAGGGTTACAGTTGAACTAAGCTCATGGTATTTGTCATGCAAGCCAACGTGGATCTCTGGAGAAGACCAGGCATTTCCCAAACTCCTCTGGCCACGGCTTGTCTACGATGTACCTCTTTCAACAGTGTAGCCTGATGTTTATAGTGTAGTCTGTATACATACTGTATGTGTATTGTGTAAATTCTTTGTCATATATCTCGTTTAATGTCCGTCTGTATATTGTTTGTGGCAGCACCATTTCACAGTCAAATTCCAGTACATGCATATAAAAGGTGATTCAGATTCTGAGTGCCTTGGAGGTGGAAGGAATAGTGATTGCTTTGCCATCCAGATCACAGAAGGCACAGGGTGGCGAGTACCTGTCAAGTGAGCCGGCAGCAATTTGTTATTTTTATTTGACCTTTATTTAACTAGCCAAGTCAGTTAAGAACAAATTCTTATTTACAATGACGGCCTACACCGGCCAAACCCAGACGACGCAATGAACCCCATCGTCTTATAGCTAATTTAAATGATCATGGTTAGCCCCCATTTCAACTAATCTCTAACTACTATAATAATTTACATACATTCACACCACATAGTATAAAAAAATGTTTTAATTGGCAAATGCTAAATGTTCAGCAAATATTAAATCGTAGGTTCATCTACAGGAACACCCACATAATCTTCTCTAAAAACACATACTTTAATTACAGGTAGATATTTCTCATTCAGAAGATAAAAGCATATTGCAATATAAAAGCATTCAAAAAGTATCAAAGGAAAGTACAGCAAATCCAAGTTGGTTGCGAATCCTAGAAATCCACTGTTACAGTACACAAAGGAAACTAAATCTTCACAACGACGTACAACTATGACATACAGATCAATGATAATAAATATAATGCTTCTGGTATGGAGTCAGGCGCGAAGGTGTAGAATCAGCCAAGGTTAGCTGCCCTGGCTGCCACACTCAGGAATGTCCATGGAGAGATCACAGCACCGCTATGTGGCTGAATCAGGCACTGCTAGTCTGCTCAGTCTTCACACTGGAAAGTGTGCTGGTTTCCCATCCCAAAACATAACATGTCAATCAGTCAGTGTCAAGTCTGAATACATTTGTGACTACTTCAAATTACGCAATTGTGCTTATACATCTCAAACTATAAGTAGCTGGTTGTGACAAGTAATTATAGTGAAGTCTTGATTGTGATAAAGAGAAGGATGAGAGAGATTACAATGGTCTGTACTCCCCCCTGAGATTATCATAATTTTGCAGGTTTGGATCTTGCAGCACTCCACAAATGAGGGTTGAGGAATTCATGACCCTCGTAAAACTGTACATACAGTGTCAGGGTGCCACAATTACTCTTAGCTACCTTTTTGTGTCAGTTTTCTCAGTGCTTGTTTCCTTTGCTTTCTCCAACTCTGTACAGAAGACAGCACAAATAAACAAGTTGTATCACATCAAGTTATCATCAATTAAACATTTCTACTTTTCTATCATATATATCTCAAAATGTCCTCTTCATCTAAGTCAACTTATCTAAAATGAAGTGTTCTTGAAAGTTCTTTCCAAAAAGGTTTGTACTCAGGATAACCAAGTTTTGAATACTCACCAACTTTTTCTTTCTTCCCTCCCTCCTCTACTCGAGCCCGTTTAGTTCCTTTCTTGTGATTGGCTTCGTTCCTCCTTCCTCCCTCGCCCTCGTCCTCAGAGTCAGAGAACTCCTCGTCGCAGGCTATCCTCTTGTCTGAAGCACGGACTTAAACAAGACAGGAAATTAACATTCAGATGCTGCTGGCAATATGATCCATGATGGATTCCATAGTGGAAAATCTAACCACTGATACATTGAGAATGGAACCCCCTAAGTGACATAATAACAGCAGTAGTTAGACTATACACAGTGAATGTCATTTGTCAGATAAGGTGTGTCTTACTGGACATGCGTTTGTCAGGGTTCTCTGTATCCTCATCCATTGTATCATCAGGGATGGCGTCCTCAGGGATCATCTGCATCTGCACTCCCGGGGCGTGAGGTAGCATCCGCAGGTTCTCAAACAGACGCTGCCTATGGGTTAATACAAACAAAAGCAATTGCTTTAGTGTAACCACCATCAGCGCAGTAACCACCGTCAGCGCAGTAACCACCATCAGTGCAAAAGCCCACGAGAAGGCTCTAAGAAATTTGGAAAATCATATGTGCCAACGAAAACCACTTACCACAATAACAATTTCTTACAGTAATAACAATGCAGATGCAACAACCTCAATGCACACACATCCTTAATATAACATTCAACTCCTTAGGAGTAGCTGAATACATCTGATATGCTATATTTGATAGTCCATTACAGACGCAGTCCTTACTTGATCTTATCCATGTACTCCAATGTGTTCTGGTTGGTCATGTTGGATGGGCTGATGTGCAACTTGAAGTCAGGCCCAAAGTACTCAAAGTAATCGTTGTATGGCAGTTCTGAAAAGAAAGATAAAACTTCATACGGAAGAGGAAAGGAAAATGCCAGCGCCAAGATTAACATGAAGGTTCCGATTTATGTGCCATAACTTAAAGAAAGTGTCAGAATATCAGCCCTTTCAGGTAAAAAAAAACATAAAAATGACAGTTCGTTTGATTTTTACGCCTATACAAGACCCTCCACTTGAGAGGTTATAATGCAATGGGTAAGGGTTCTGTTAATGTCCCAAATCCCATTAAGAAAACTGCCAGCTCCTTTGACTGCTGTGATAATGTCCTCTCTCTCACACACTTGGTGGCCCACTGACATTCTGCTTAGTCAGCTCCCAGTAGGCAGATTAATGTCAGGACCAGGACTATCCCTGTCTGCGTCCCAAATGGCACCCTATTCCCTTTGCAATGCACTACTTTTGACCAGGGCCTTAACCCTATATAGTGCACTACTTTTGACCAGGGCTAATAGGGCACTGGCCAAAAGTAGTGCACTATGTAGGGAATAGGGTGCCATTTGGGACAAAACCCCTGTCTAGTGCTGTAGCCACGTAACATTTTCTCTAGAGACCCAGCCGATATCTCAGGGGGAGAGAAGACATTGTATTGAGTAAACTATGAAAAGTAAAGTACACTAGCCTCAATGGCTTGATATTTACACTGCAGTATACAGGTCTAGGCAATCGACACTGAAATGAGGAAAGCACCTTAAAATGGCATGAGTGGGAAATGGGGCATTTTGAATAGGAAAAATCAACACACCGTCAGGGATCTCAGTGTCCAGAGCCACGGCCGTCTCGTAGGTCCAGCAGCGGGCCACGTTGCGGATGGTGTAGCCTCCTCCACCCAGCATTAGCAGGGGAAGGTTGAACGACTTCATGTACTCAACACACTTAGCATGACCTGATGGAAAAGCAGCATGAAGAGACAAAACATCACATAACTATAGGAACAACACGGAGGCTTAGAAAAGGCTAATACGCTTCTCTAACAAATTAGATTATCATAACTTTTCAATAAATGACAGACTAAAAAGAGATTTCTGTGCAACTCCCAATGCTGGCTCAATCATTAGAGTTAAATGAAGCTTTACAAGTTTAAATGGACTCGTACACAAACAGGTAAGGCGACTAGCATACAGCCTCCTTACCGCGGATGGTGAGGTTGAAGCAGCCCAGTCGGTCTCCTGAGAGGGAGTCTGCTCCACACTGCAGCACCACTGCACTGGGCTGGTACATCTCCATCACCCTGGCCATCACCTGCCAAGACAAAGCACATTTTTAATTGTTCCCCTCTAATCAGGGACTGATTTAGACCTGGGACACCAGGTGTGTGCAATTCATTATCAGGTAAAACAGAAAACCATCAGAATCCGGACCTCGTAGGGTAAAAGCCAATTTATGCTTGATCTGAAAATGTGGTCGGAGGCTCCGTATGGAGGGTGGAACGCAATTGCTGAGCCTCCAGAGGCATGCAGAGGCCAAATTGAGCTCCGTACCGCATTGCCGTGCGCCTCCCAAATTTTTCAACAACGCGGAGGGCTCCGTATAGCTCCGCATTAACATGATTGGTTGACGATAGCTGGGGGAGGTAGGTCCTGTATAAACACAAACTCACTTCCTTGACAATAGCTCTGCTCAACAACAAGAGCCCATGGCAGCACACTCAGTAGAAAAGGCTGTAAATGAAGATATTACAAATGAACATTTTACATTACATTTTAGTCATTTACCAGACGACCTTAGACCAGTGCGATTTACAGGAGCAATGTGTTAAGTGCCTTGCTCACAGACACAGCAACAGATTTTTCACCTAGTCAACTCTGGGATTCGAACCAACGACCTTTCGGTTACTGGCCCAACGCTCTTATCCGCTAGGCTACCTGCAGCCCCACTAGTGTTCAGCACTGAACACTGCCCTGCAATACCTGTGCATACTTACAGGCTTGAAGATCTGCTCATACGACTCATCATCAACGCCATCCCTCAGGGGGAAGTTGACAGCGTAATATTTGCCTTTTCCAGCTCCAATATCCTAAGAACAGAGAGTGGCAATTGAGGATTTTAACACGTGCACACTTGCTAATCCATAACTAAGATACTGCATCCATCATAAAGCGCTCTTCCCAAGCAAAATACTACAAATAATGGAAGTGAGATTGTCTAGTCAGCATGTCTAATCTAACACATTCTTAACTATAATTGTGGAAAGAAAGTCTCTAACCAGCCATTAACGGACCACTCTGTAACAGAGCACCAGGAAGTTCATATTGAGGTGTGACACATGAGGCTATGTCCCAAATGGCATCCTAATCATACTGCACTACTTCTGCTGGCCGAAAGTAGCGCCATTTGGGACGTAGCCAAGTACTCACCCTGAGGTCTCCAGTCCCGGGGAAGTACTCTCCATATTTGTGGAAGGACACGGTCATGACCCTGTCTGTGGTGTAGAAGGCCTCCTCTACTCCATCCCCATGGTGGATGTCAATATCAATGTACAGCACCCTTTGATGGTACCTGGGAACAAGGAGGAGAGACAGGCTTATCAACAACACATTTAATTGATGGGTGCGAATAATTAAACCTGAGGCATGCATAGTAGAATAGACGTTGATATTTCAGGGTGTTCACAAAAACAACAAGAAAGTCACCATCACTAATGCTTTTCATTGTAGAAGTCATACGGTTCAGCCTGTGTCTATCTGGGAACACAAACTCACTTGAGGAGCTCCAGAATGGCCACGACGATGTCATTGACGTAACAGAAGCCAGAGGCCTCAGACTTCTTAGCGTGGTGGAGTCCACCGGCCCAGTTCACCGCAATGTCCGTCTGCTGCCTGTTGAGTTTCACCGATCCCGCTGTGCATAGGGAGGAAAAACGTGTTTTTGTTTACACTATTTCTGGTTACACTATCTTCACCAGCATATGTTGCGATTTCTAAACCAAGAGGGACTAGTTCTACTTTTTACAGCTGAAAGAAATTGAGGAAAATCTCAAGTTTGAGCTGAAAGAGCAAAAATATTTAAAAAGCGTAAGAAAGAAATCCTCATTGACAGCAACACAGAGCTTCAATAAAACCTAGTAAACACTGATGTGTACAAAAAACCCAACATCCGCATCTCCCTAAGCCAAATCCCTAAAGCCTAAGGTACCAGACAGACACAGCTGTCTGAGCGGGTTGTGCTCTTCCTATGCACTGGAGACAACACCCGTCTGATTTTTATGATTCCTCCCTTTGCTTTGGACATGTTTAGTGAAACGGTATCGGATTTGCCCATACAGATGTGTGTGTAATATCTATATTCAGTGGGGAGAACAAGTATTTGACACACTGCCTATTTTGCAGGCTTTCCTACTTACAAAGCATGTAGAGGTCTGTAATTTTGATCATAGGTAAATTCAACTGTGAGAGATGGAATCTAAAACAAAAATCCAGAAAATCACATTGTATGATTTTTAAGTAATTAATTTGCATTTTATTGCATGACATAAGTATTTGATCACCTCCCAACCAGTAAGAATTCCGGCTCTCACAGACCTGTTAGTTTTTCTTTAAGAAGCCCTCCTGTTCTCCACTCATTACCTGTATTAACTGCACCTGTTTGAACTCGTTACCTGTATAAAAAACACCTGTCCACACACTCAAACAGACTCCAACCTCTACACAATGGCCAAGACCAGAGAGCTGTGTAAGGACATCAGGGATAAAATTGTAGACCTGCACAAGGCTGGGATGGGCTACAGGACAATAGGCAAGCAGCTTGGTGAGAAGGCAACAACTGTTGGCGCAATTATTAGAAAATGGAAGAAGTTCAAGATGACGGTCAATCACCCTCGGTCTGGGGCTCCATGCAAGATCTCACCTCGTGGGGCATCAATGATCATGAGGAAGGTGAGGGATCAGCCCAGAACTACACGGCAGGACCTGGTCAATGACCTGAAGAGAGCTGGGACAACAGTCTCAAAGAAAACCATTAGTAACACACTACGCTGTCATGGATTAAAATCCTGCAGCGCACGCAAGGTCCCCCTGCTCAAGCCAGCGCATGTCCAGGCCCGTCTGAAGTTTGCCAATGACCATCTGGATGATCCAGAGGAGGAATGGGAGATGGTCATGTGATCTGATGAGACAAAAATAGAGCTTTTTGGTCTAAACTCCACTCGCCGTGTTTGGAGGAAGACGAAGGATGAGTACAACCCCAAGAACACCATCCCAACCGTGAAGCATGGAGGTGGAAACATCATTCTTTGGGGATGCTTTTCTGCAAAGTGGACAGGATGACTGCACCGTATTGAGGGGAGGATGGATGGGGCCATGTATCGCGAGATCTTGGCCAACAACCTCCTTCCCTCAGTAAGAGCATTGACGATGGGTCGTGGCTGGGTCTTCCAGCATGACAACGACCCGAAACACACAGCCAGGGCAACTAACGAGTGGCTCCGTAAGAAGCATCTCAATGTCCTGGAGTGGCCTAGCCAGTCTCCAGACCTGAACCCAATAGAACATCTTTGGAGGGAGCTGAAAGTCCGTATTGCCCAGCGACAGCCCCGAAACCTGAAGGATCTGGAGAAGGTATGCATGGAGGAGTGGGCCAAAATCCCTGCTGCAGTGTGTGCAAACCTGGTCAAGACCTACAGGAAACGTATGATCTCTGTAATTGCAAACAAAGGTTTATGTACCAAATATTAAGTTCTGCTTTTCTGATGTATCAAATACTTATGTCATGCAATAAAATGCAAATTAATTACTTTAAAATCATACAATGTGATTTTCTGGATTTTTGTTTTAGATTCCGTCTCTCACAGTTGAAGTGTACCTATGATAAAAAATTACAGACCTCTACATGCTTTGTAAGTAGGAAAACCTGCAAAATCGGCAGTGTATCAAATACTTGTTCTCCCCACTGTATATCCACAAATACACTGCTCAAAAAAAATAAAGGGAACACTTAAACACAAATGTAACTCCAAGTCAATCACACTTATGTGAAATCAAACTGTCCACTTAGGAAGCAACACTGATTGACAATACATTTCACATGCTGTTGTGCAAATGGAATAGACAACAGGTGGAAATTATAGGCAATTAGCAAGACACCCCCAATAAAGGACTGGTTTTGCAGGTGGTGACCAGACCACTTCTCAGTTCCTATGCTTCCTGGCTGATGTTTTGGTCACTTTTGAATGCTGACGGTGCTTTCACTCTAGTGGTAGCATGAGACGGAGTCTACAACACACACAAGTGGGTCAGGTAGTGCAGCTCATCCAGGATGGCACATCAATGCGAGCTGTGGCAAGAAGGTTTGCTGTGTCTGTCAGCGTAGTGTCCAGAGCATGGAGGCCAGTACATCAGGAGACGTGGAGGAGGCCGTAGGAGGGCAACAACCCAGCAGCAGGACTGCTACCTCCGCCTTTGTGCAAGGAGGAGCAGGAGGAGCACTGCCAGAGCCCTGCAAAATGACCTCCAGCAGGTCACAAATGTGCATGTGTCTGCACAAACGGTCAGAAACAGACTCCATGAGGGTGGTATGAGGGCCCGACGTCCACAGGTGGGGGTTGTGCTTACAGCCCAACACCGTGCAGGACGTTTGGCATTTGCCAGAGAACACCAAGATTGGCAAATTCGCCACTGGCGCCCTGTGCTCTTCACAGATGAAAGAAGGTTCACACTGAGCACGTGACAGAGTCTGGAGACGCCGCAGAGAACGTTCTGCTGCCTGCAACATCCTCCAGCATGACCGGTTTGGCGGTGGGTCAGTCATGGTGTGGGGTGGCATTTCTTTGGGGGGGCCGCACAGCCCTCCATGTGCTCGCCAGAGGTAGCCTGACTGCCATTAGGTACCGAGATGAGATCCTCAGACCCCTTGTTAGACCATATGCTGGTGCGGTTGGCCCTGGGTTCCTCCTAATGCAAGACAATGCTAGACCTCATGTGGCTGTAGTGTGTCAGCAGTTCCTGCAAGAGGAAGGCATTGATGCTATGGACTGGCCCGCCCGTTCCCCAGACCTGAATCCAATTGAGCACATCTGGGACATCATGTCTCGCTCCATCCACCAACGCCACGTTGCACCACAGACTGTCCAGGAGTTGGCGGATGCTTTAGTCCAGGTCTGGGAGGAGATCCCTCAGGAGACCATCCGCCACCTCATCAGGAGCATGCCCAGGCGTTGTAGGGAGGTCATACACACTACTGAGCCTCATTTTGACTTGTTTTAAGGACATTACATCAAAGTTGGATCAGCCTGTAGTGTGGTTTTCCACTTTAATTTTGAGGGTGACTCCAAATCCAGACCTCCATGGGTTGATACATTTGATTTCCATTGATAATTTTTGTGTGATTTTGTTGTCAGCACATTCAACTATGTAAAGAAAAACGTATTTAATAAGATTATTTCATTCATTCAGATCTAGGATGTGTTATTTTAGTGTTCCCATTTTTTTTGAGCAGAGAATATAGACAAAAATAAAAAGATTAAGACGGGCAGTCTGAGATATGGCTTTTTTTTTTTTTGCAACTCTGCCTAGAAGGTCAGCATCCCGGAGTCGCCTCTTCACTGTTGACATTGAGACTGGTCTTTTGCGGGTACTATTTAATGAAGCTGCCAGTTGAGGACCTGTGAGGCGTCTGTTTCTCAAACTAGAAACGAATGTATTTGTCCTCTTGCCCAGTTGTGCACCGGGGCCTCCCACTACTCTTTCTATTCTGGTTAGAGCCAGTTTGCGCTGTTCTGTGAAGGAAGTATTACACAGCGACGGCGCACAATTGGCCCAGCGTCGTCCAGGGTAGGGGAGGGAATGGCCGGCAGGGATGTAGCTCAGTTGGTAGAGCATGGCGTTTGCAACGCCAGGGTTGTGGGTTCGATTCCCACGGGGGGCCAGTATGATTTTTTAAAATAAAAAATAAATAATGAATGCACTAACTGTAAGTCGCTCTGGATAAGAGCGTCTGCTAAATGACTAAAATGTAAATGTAAATGTATGAGATCTTCAGTTTCTTGGCTTTTTCTTGCATGGAATAGCCTTCATTTCTCAGAACAAGAATAGACTGACGAGTTTCAGAAGAAAATTGTTTCTGGCCATTTTGAGCCTGTAATCAAACCCACAATTGCTGATGCTCCAGATCCTCAACTAGTCTCAAGAAGGCCAGTTTTATTGCTTCTTTAAAATCAGCACAACAGTTGTCAGCTGTGCTAACATAATTGTAAAAGGGTTTTCTAATGATCAATTAGCCTTTTAAAATGATAAGCTTGGATTAGCAAACACAACGTGCCATTGGAACACAGGAATGATGGTTGCTGATAAATGGGCCTCTGTACACCTATGTAGATATTCCATTACAATAGCCATTTACAACATTAACAATGTCTACACTGTATTTCTGATCAATTTGATGTTATTTTAAATGGACAAAAAAATTGCTTTTCTTTCGAAACAAGGACATTTCTAAGTGACCTCAAACTTTAACAGTTCTCTATCTCTCATATATATATATATATATATATATATATACACACACACACATATACACACAAAAGTATGTGGACACCCCTTCATGCAATCTCCATAGACAAACATTGGCAGTAGAATGGCCTTAATCTTCTGTCCTCGGTTGCAACACTCATTACAGAGTTCCAAACTGCCTCTGGAAGCAACTTCAGCACAAGAACTGTTCGTCGGGAGCTTCATGAAATGGGTTTCCATGGCCGAGCAAGTACACACAAGCCTAAGATCACCATGCGCAATGCCAAGCATCGGCTGGAGTGGTGTAAAGCTCTCAGTCATTGGATTCTGGAGCAGTGGAAACGCGTTCTCTGGAGTGATGAATCACGCTATCTGGCAGTCCAACAGACTCATCTGGATTTGGCGGATGCCAGGAGAACGCTACCTTCCCAAATGCATAGTGCCAAATATAAAATTTGGTGGAGGAGGAATAATGGTCTGGGGCTATTCTTCATGGTTCGGGCTAGGGTCCTTAGTTCCAGTGAAAGGAAATCTTAATTCTACAGCATACAATAACATTCTAGTCGATTCTGTGCTTACAACTTTGTGGCAACAGTTTGGGGAAGGCCCTTTGCTGTTTCAGCACGACAATGCCCCCATGCACAAAGCGAGGTCCATTCAGAAATGATTTGTCGAGATCGGTGTGGAAGAACTTGACTGGCCTGCACAGAGCCCTGACCTCATCGAACACCTTTGTGATGAATTGGAACTCCAACTGCGAGCAAGGCCTAATCGCCCAATATCAGCGCCCGACCTAACTAATGCTCGTGGCTGAATGTAAGCAAGTCCCCACAGCAATGTTCCAACATCTACTGGAAAGCCATCCCAGAAAAGTGGAGGCTGTTATAGCAGCAAAGGGGGGACCAACTCCATATTAATGCTCATGATTTTGGAATGAGATGTTCAACAAGCAGGTGTCCACATACTTTTGGCCATGTAGTGTATGTATCCGTGGGAAAGTATTCAGACCCCTTGACTTTTTCCACATTTTGTTACGTTACAACCTTATTCTAACATTGATTAAATTGTCCCCCCCCCCCCCCCTCACCAATCTATACACAATACTCCATAATGACAACGCAAAAACAGGTTTAGACACTTTTGCTAATTTATTAAAAATAAAAACTGAAATATCACATTTACATAAGTATTCAGACCATTTACTCAGTACTTTGTTGAAGCACCTTTGGCAGCATCGAGTCTTCTATGGTATTATGCTACAAGCTTGGCACACCTGTATTTGGGGAGTTTCTCCCATTCTTCTTTGCAGATCCTCTCAAGCTCTGTCAGGTTGGATGGGGAGCGTTGCTGCACAGCTATTTTCAGGTCTCTCCAGAGATGTTTGATCGGGTTCAAGACCGGGCTCTGGCTGGGCCACTCAAGGACATTCAGAGACTTCTCCCAAAGCCACTCCTGCGTTGTCTTGGCTGTGTGCTTTGGGTCGTTGTCCTGTTGGAAGTTGAACCTTCTCCCCAGTCTGAGGTCCTGAGCGCTCTGGAGCAGGTTTTCATCAAGGATCTCTCTGTACTTTGCTCCGTTCATCTTCCCCCGCTGAAAAACATCCCTACAGCATGCTTCACCGTATGGATGGTGCCAGGTTTCGTCCAGACGTGACGCTTGGCATTCAGGCCAAAGAGTTCAATCTTGGTTTCATCAGACCAGAGAATCTTGTTTCTCATGGTCTGAGAGTCTTTAGGTGCCTTTTGGCAAACTCCAAGCGGGCTGTCATTAGCCTTTTACTGAAGAGTGGCTTCCATGTGGCCACTCTACCATAAAGGCCTGATTGGTGGCGTGCTGCAGAGATGGTTGTCCTTCTGGAAGGTTCTCCCATCTCCACAGAGGAACTCTAGAGCTCTGCCAGAGTGACCATCGGGTTCTTGGTCACCTCCCTGACCAAGGCCCTTCTCCCCCGATTGCTCGGTTTGGCCGGGCAGCCAGCTCTAGGAAGAGTCTTGGTGGTTCCAAACTTCTTCCATTTAAGAATGATGGAGGCCACTGTGTTCTTGGGGACCTTAAAGCTGCAGTCATTTTTTGGTACCCTTCTCCAGATCTGTGCCTCGACACAATCCTGTCTCGGCGCTCTACGGACAATTCCTTTGACCTCATGGTTTGGTTTTTGCTCTGACATACACTGTCAACTGTGGGACCTTATATAGCCAGGTGTGTGCCTATCCAAATCATGTCCAATCAATTGAATTGATCACAGTTGGACTCCAATCAAGTTGTAGAAACATCTCAACGATGATCAATGGAAATAGGATGCACCTGAGCTCCATTTCGAGTCTCATAGCAAAGGGTCTGAATACTTATGTAAATAAGGTTTCTGTTTTTTTTATTTTTAATAAATTTGCAAACATTTTTACAAACCTGTTTTCGCTTTGTCATTATGGGGTAATGCGTGTAGATTGCTGAGGATTTTTTTAAATCCATTTTAGAATAAGGCTGTAATGTAAAAAAATGTGGAAAAGGTTAAGGGTCTGAATACCTCCCGAAGGCACTATATGTATGCATGCATGTATACACTTACCAGCAGAGCCACCAGTAGACAACTGGCAAAACTCAAACAACCCATCAAAGACAGGACAATCCTCACCAACATTAACTATGAGAAAAACAAAAACACAAAGAAGTGAACTTTCAAGCAATCCATCAAGAAATGCTTCCCCCCCCAATATGCTATGGGTAAGACTAGGTAGTTTTCCCTGGTCCAGTCATAAGGTTAGTATCAACTCCTGGCCCTAGTGATGGCCTGACTTACACCTCTGCATTTGCTTGCTGTACTCTGACATGTTGTCTGGTCGGATGGATCTGAGGAACTTGATGTAATCGTCGCTGTGGTATTTGGTCATTTCCTCTGCAGTGGCTTTGTGTGGTCTCTGTAACATAAAGAACAATGGCCTACTTGAAGGCAGAAGAGAGAAAAAGCCATAACTACACATTCAGAATTACCATTTTTACTTGGACTCTTGCTATAAACGTACATATATTTCCATTTTTCTGTACAGTCCATAGTTCAACAGTAGGTTGTGGGTCATGCGAATTCGGTGTGGTTTCATGGGATGCCCTTGTCCATAATAATAATTTCCAATGTCACCTGTAAAAACAGACAGACAGTAACTAGCCGAGCCTACATTTGAGAAAATGTTGATATTTTACACAGCTAGCTATCCCCATGCAACATTCCAGATCTAACCATACTGTACTTCCACTAGTTATCAACTACCACATTATTATATTTTCTACTAATGCAATGCAGTCAGTTAGCTAGCAGTACTAGCTAATGAAGCAGTGCTGATAAGGCGCAATAGCCGCTCGTGTGGACGTCGTCTTCATCACTATCACTGGTCCCTTGTTGGCGTTACTAAATGAATCTTACTTTCTGCTTATATTTTCAATTTAATAAAACAAATACCACAACAGTGTGTTTATTTGTGTAGAATAATACTAGTTGTGAAAGTAAACATTGCTGTGGCTGGCTAAACTCGCTAACGTTAGGTACAAACAATGCCCCGACAAGAGTGAAGGCTGTGCTAGCGCTAGCTACAGTAGGTGGTTAACAGTCACTAGCTAACTTACATATATATCTAGATTCTAGAGCACCTGCTCGTAACTTATTTCATAATCATAACAGGAACATAAAACAAATACAATAATATGTCAGGATCGCTAGGCAATAGTACTTAGTTAGTAAGATAATTAATAGATATTCCACTGCACTGGCTGTCATCATGCACCGACATAGGCTAGTTAAGTAACGTTAGTTTGGCCTTGCAAACTTATTCTGAAAACTCAAAATGAACATGCATTTCTTTACCGTCATAGTAGTAGCAGACTTTCTTCTTAGTTCCACCTGCAACGGTGTAAGCCATGTTCAGTCGGGTTTCTGTTTGGGATGCTTGCCGAAAAGTAAATAGTATTTATGGACCTAGTGGTCGACAGAGACCTATGTGAAGCTAGTCACAATAAGGATTAGCCACAACAGCGGCATTGGCGGTTTGCTTTCAAAATAAAAGTCCCTAATTGAAAGTGATGTTAATGGACACAAATAAAGGAATCATGCCATTTGGACTAGATAATGCTAAACAAAGTTGGAATACTGTTATATAAATTCAAGAAAAGACAAGAATTAGTTCATTTGAAAATCTGTTGAAATCGCACTGTGGATATATTAGACTTCAGAATTGCATTGGGGGCATAATTTATATTTCACAGTACAGCCTTACCTATGGATTGTGGATAAATCAAAGGGGGCATCAGTCTACTCAGTGACACCCACAGAACACAACTGTGAAGAGTTTAATTAAGTGATAATACCCTTGAAGCCGGTGTTTGGAGGATATATTGGCACGGCTTCGATGGCATTATCACTTTTATACAACGGGTTATCAACATATTCAAATAATGATTTACATATTTTCTTTAAAAACGTTATTTTAATGAATTTATTCATACTATTTCATCCTTCCACAAGATTTAGTCCCGACACAAATCTAGGGTTGCTACCCAAGCCGGCTAGTCGTTCGTTCTATCGGTTCGGTTGCCAGAGAAGCGACCCAGTCGTTCAGTCTTTTGGTTCTGTATCTATAATGATATGCCATTTAGCAGACGCTTTTATCCAAAGCGACTTACAGTCATGCGTGCATACATTTTTGTGTATGGGTGGTCCCGGGGATCGAACCCACTACCTTGGCGTTACAAGTGCCATGCTCTACCAGCTGAGCTACAGAGGACGCGACCCAGTTGTTCCATTGCCATACTGGCTGGCAACGTTCTTATCCCTTGCCTGCTAGTAAACCAACTACGGCTAACTTACAGTCACATCAAACAGTGCAGCCAGAATAACAACAGTAGCGGCATTTGCATTTGTTTAAACTATATTCAGTGTTCTGTCACTCATGGGGACACTACATCACCGCCAAGTAAAAGGGTAGAGCTCGAAAATTCAAGCCCTTTGGGTGCTGCCATAGAGTTACATTAGAAGTGCCCATCCAAGAAGGCTCAAGGTCATTGGCCACAGATAAAATGATGTCAAATCACGTTATATCTACAGTAGCTTTGATTGGACTGATCATGTCAACATCATACTTTCAAAATTGTAGCTAGCAGTCATCATCATGAATCAAGTCGACAATCTATTAGCAAATCTACTAGCAAATAAATTATAGATCAAATGTATCGGTAATTGGACATAAACATTACACAAGTTGGAAATCGCAAATTCTACAATGAGTGGTTTGGAAGGAATCTGTGGCTAATTGCAAGCATTGCAAAGCAATCACTAGCCTGCTATTCAGTGGAGTGGCTGTATGGTCCCAAGTCTAGGAATAAGTGTCTCTTTTCCAAGCTTAAAATGATAAACATTCAACATAGGCCATGCTGTCAATGAAGCATGAGTTGTGCCATGCTCAAAACAACTGTTAACTCAGAACTGGGAACTCTGACTTCAGTGAGTTCAAGACTCACTCATGCTGCCAAACTTGCCCTCATAAAACTGACTATCCTACCGATCCTTGACTTCAGTGATGTCATTTACATAGTTATATTGACTACGTCCGTCCTAGCTCGCTCATTAATGTCTTAATCTAAATTATGGATTGCCTCTTATCCGCTTGTCGTCCCCTTATGCCATAATTTGTACATCTCAATAGTCAGTAGAAACCACATTTGTTTAAGTTCAAGACTCACTCATGCTGCCAAACATGCCCTCATAAAACTGACTATCCTACCGATCCTTGACTTCGGTGATGTCATTTACAAAATAGCCTCCAACACTCTACTCAGCAAATTGGATATAGTATATCACAGTGCCATCTGTTTTGTCACCAAAGCCCCATATACTACCTACCATTGTGACCTGTACGCTCTCGTTGGCTGGCCCTCACTACATATTCCTCGCCAAACCCACTGGCTCCAGGTCATCTATAAATCACTGCTAGACAAATCCCCGCCTTTTCGTAGCTCATTGGTCACCATAGCAACACCCACTCATAGTATGCGCTCCAGCAGGTATATCTCACTGGTCACCCCCAAAGCCAACACCTCCTTTGGCAGCCATTCCTTACAGTTCTCTGCTGCTAATGACTGGAACGAACTGCAAAAATCTCTGAAGCTGGAGACTCTTATCTCCCTCACTAACTTTAAGCATCAGTTGTCAGAGCAGCTTACCGATCACTGCACCTGTACACAACCCATCTGTAATTAGCCTACCCAACTACCTCATCCCCATATTGTTATTTATTTTTTGCTCATTTGCACCCCAGTATCTCTATTTGCACATCTTCTTCTGCACATCTATCACTCCAGTGTTTATACTAAATTGTAATTATTTTGCACTATGGCCTATTTATTGCCTTACCTCCATAACTTACTACATTTGCACACACTGTATATAGATTTTCTATTGTGTTATTGACTGTATGTTTTGTTTTATCCCATGTGTAACTCTGTGTTGTTGTTGTTTTTATCGCACTGCTTCGCTTTATCTTGGCCAGGTCGCAGTTGTAAATGAGAACTTGCTCTCAACTGGCTTACCTGGTTAAATAAAGGTTAAATAAATAAAAATTAAATAAAATAAATAAAAAGACAACTGGGAACTCGTGAAAAAAACAAGCTCCGACTGGGAAAATACGCTTTGAACGGTCATCCAACTCAGAACTGTAAATCGGGAACTTAGGCCTCTTTCCAGAGCTACGACCTGAAGATCACTGACATCATCATGATTCAACTTTGTTTTTTACAGAGTTCCCAGTTGTCTTGAAAGCACCGTAAATCCAGAGAATGCCAGACATTGATGGCAACGTTTGATGACAAAATTTGCCCACAAAGGACCGCCGCGCCACCTTCCTGTTCAAGTGAGCACAGCACAACAAGGTGAGTCCAAAAATGTATTGTATGCTGCTGCATAAATTATATAATATGCCAGGGAATTATGTATACTGTAGCTAAGAAAGTAATCCTAAATGAATGTTGTGTAATAAGCTGTTTGTAGCCCATGTGCCTCACTCTAATAATTTGGTCTATTTTCCCCTCTTAATTTCGCCTACCGTTCTGACTTTGTGTTGCACATGTAACCTGTTTTAGAGAAATGTCATCATCGAATATTGTAAGAGCTTTCATTGTCTGCTTATAAGCCCCCTTTATTTATCATACGGTTCTGACTTGGTGTACAGGGAGAACACAATAAGAACGGCCTATGTTCTGAATTCTGTCGCTGTACATTTCAAAAGTGCTGAACACATAGTTATATTGACTACGTCCGTCCTAGCTCGCTCATTAATGTCTTAATCTAAATTATGGATTGCCTCTTATCCGCTTGTCGTCCCCTTATGCCATAATTTGTACATCTCAATAGTCAGTAGAAACCACATTTGTTTAAGCAAGTCAGCCATATCAGCTATGTTTTTTTTTTAAAGGCAGTAAATTAGGCTGAATGAACTGTTTTGCTGCCAGACAAGGCTCCGCTGATAGCCAGGTGTAGCAGTGGTAAGATGTTGGGACTGCTGTATGTAGACCCTAACAGTTTGTGGGCACCGTTTGTCACCGTTATAGTGCAATTGATGTATTGTTTAGTGTTGTGTTGTGAAGTGGCTTTGCTGGCATGCATCCCACTATTTTTGTTTTGTTTGCCCCACCAAGATTTACATGCTAAAATCACCACTGAACACATCTAACACAATCTTTTCAAACTATCTGCACTTAGTTTTGTTTTACCCTTTTTCAATTGACATTTCTTTGTATATATCCATAAAAATGATGCCAGTTGATTCAT